AGTTTATAGCAAATGGATTATAGTGCAACAGTGGAATGACAAGTATTTTAATGACAGTTAATATTTTTATTCATTTAGTAATAATAGTTTATTTCCATTCGGCTTTGTTTTTGGTCTTACATGTAGGTCTTTGGTTTTTGTTTGTGTTTTGTTTTGTTCTTATTAAAATAATAATAATTATTATTATTTATTATATTATAGTGATGATACTGAGTATCCATTCCCTCCTGAGCTCCTCATGCAGTTACATAATTCTCAAGTTCAAGGACAGGGACAGTACAACCTACCACCTTATCCTAACACTGGACACTACACCATTCCTTATGTAAGGGAAGAAATATACACATGTATACAATATGGTAGAGGTTATTTTAATATTGCTAGGTGTGTATACATGTACAGTACATGTACATGAACTTTGAGCTGATTCTAAGCAACATTAGATTTTTTATAAATTTTCATAGTTGCTCAAAATTGGGTCAAAGTCCCTGTACTATAGTACAGGGTCATTAGCCAAATTTTCCAAAAATGAAAAGTAGAGAATTTTTCTTTTTATAATATTTTCTGATGCACATATACATGTACAAAATGTATGTACTTATGTTGTGTAGAAAGTTTGAGCTGATTCCGATCAAAACTGGATTTTTACAAATTTTTAAAGTTGCTCCAAAATTGGGCAAAAGTCCCTGTACTATAATACAGGGTCGTTGGCCAAATTTTGCCAAAAATGATAAGTAGAGAATTTTCAATTTTTATTACAATTCCTGATACACATACATGTTTTTATGTTGCATAGAAAGTTTGGATTGATTCCGATCAAAATTGGATTTTTTACGAATTTTTAAAATTCTTCTAAAATTGGGTCGAAGTTCCTGTACTATAGTACAGGGTCGCGGGCCAAATTTTGTCAAAAATGAAAAAGTGTGAATTTTCCGTTTTTATAATTTTATCTGATGCATATGTACATGTACTTATGTTGTGTAGAAAGTTGGAGCTAGTTCTGATCAAGTTTGGTTTTTTTACGAATTATAAAAAATTCTCTAAAATTGGGTCAAAGTCCCTGTACTATAGTACAGGGACTTTGGACAAATTTTGCCAAAAATGAAAAGGAGAGAAATCTCTACTTTTATTACATTTTCTGAGGCATATACATGTACTTATGTTGTGTATAAAGTTTGAGCTAATTCCGATCAAAAGTAATTTTTTTATGAATTTTTAAAGTTGCTCCAAGCCCCTATAAGGGTCACCGGCCAAATTTTACTAAAATGAAAAAAATAAAGATTCTACTGCTTTTTCTAATACATACATTTGTATATTGTATAGCGCAAAATTTTCAAGGGCTATAAATTTTACAAATTTGCCTAAAAAATTATTTTGTGGATTTAATTTGTGGATTTAATTTTTCACAAATTTATACCATCAGTCATCTTGTGCCCTAATAATTCGATTTTTGCAGAAGTAATTTTTGCGAATCTTTAAAAAATCGTGAAATCCACGAAATTTAAAGCCCTCGAAAATTTTGCACTACATTGTACATGTACATGTACAATCTATTTATTATTCTTTATTATTCATTTATACTTCCTCTCCTTCTCCCCTCCCCACAGGGTCTCCCTCCTCTTCCTATCCCAACTCTTCCTGGTTCCCCTGTACCTGCTGCCCCCATCCCTCCTGGTATCTCTCGGGCCTCAAGGAACCCATCAATGGGATCTAACCTCAACACATCTATTCGGAGTCTGATGTCATTCAGGGATATCTTTGTTGATAGGAAAAGAATACAATTTAATGCTAAACTAATGGAAGGTACTTTAATAATAATGATACAATGTATTAATGGTTGAAAAAACCATGGGCTATAATATAATAGCCTTTGGTATTTTCAAGAAATTGGTTTGTTTTTAATTGCACATAACTTAAATAGTTATTTTACATGTACATGTACATTAAATAGTTTTTACGGTCAGTCATGGTTATTAATGGTTATTAATAATTAATAGTTATCACTGGTTATTAATAGTTATTAATATAGTTATTACTAATGATTACTGGGTATTAGTAGTTATTAATAGTTATTAGTAGTTATTGATATACATGTAGTTATTAATAGTTATTACTGGTTATTAGGTGTGTTTGGTGTTATGTATGAAGGATATTTAACTAATGCTGAAGATGATGTTGAAGGAGCAATACCAGTAATAATTAAAACTGTTAAAGGTAATTAATATTCATTAATGATAATAATAATAATGAATAATTAATTAGATAATACTCCTGATATTGTTGTAAAGTCATTATTGGAGGGCGGGGCTGCTACAAGGGGTGTAGTCCATCGTCATTTATTACCTCTAATTGGTGCCCATGCTTCAGACCTAGAACAACCAATGTTACTCTATCCCAAATCTTCATTTGGTACATTAAAAACTTTATTACTGAAAACAAGAGAAGGAGGAGGAATCATGTTACCAGGAAATAATGTAAGGATACATGTACATTGTAATGGATAATACATGATACATTTGATTCACACGTAAATGATATGTAGTATTAGTCTATTTTTACTTTTT